ACATTTTTTGCAACTAATCAGAAGACATTGTATGTAGAATGTTGAGTTATTTCAAGCTTCATCACTGATGGTATCTTGCAATATATTGTTATTCTAGGGGGTAAAATGGACTCCATCCAAGGTTATTGCACGGTTAGGAAAAGAAATAAATCACCCAGACTCTGTATGTTACTGGGCCTACAAAGTGAGTAACAATCTTCAGGCTGCTTCTTTAAAAAAATCTTCTTTCAAATTGTGTGTTTGAGTAAATATGTGTTTGTGTTATTGTTTTTAGCTTCAACTCAACCTTGCCAAGATGACAGATTCTGCACATTCCCTTCTGCTATTTTTTTCATCAGATGAATTGGGTTCAATTGAGTTGTCAGATTTAACCCAAACTTATCCGTTTCCTTCATAATAGTAGCCAACAAAAACACTTCCAAGGAAGTTCAAATTTCTTTTTGAAAAATCCTACAAAATAAATAGTACTGTGCAAAAGTTCTGCTAAATGGGTTACACTTGAATAGTAACACCATAGGTTTTGGTCAACAGATTTAAAAGTTCGAGTGGCAAATGATCTTGCCATAGCATGGTCTAGGAATAAAAGCCTTTTGTCAGTGGGCTAGTGAAAGATGCAATATTTTATTCAAAGTCATTCTTCACTCAGGAAGTTAGATCCATGGAAATGCCATATTCCTTGTTTTTTTTATAAAACTATTTTTTAGGACTTATTCCCCTCAGCCTCAAACTTAGGGCACTTTAATACCAAAGTCAGAGCTGTAGGCTATCCAGACCTATCAGTTTGAGAATGGAGTAGGCTTTTTTGAGACTTCTTGCAAAAAACCCCATCATTGTCATGTGTACTGTGCATACCATATTCAGCAATAGACTTATCTGTCTACATACCGTAAAATTCCAAAATTAAGCCTGGGGCTTATATTTTTCAAAGGCCCTTTTTGAGGGGCTTATTTACGGAGGGAAATTTGTGTTTCTAAATTGATTGGGCTAGCCTTATAGTTGAAAGGAAATTTACCGTTTTTGCTTTGTTTTACTTTGTATTTGAGGGTAATTTTCCAAGTACAAGCCCGCGGGGGGGCTTATATTTGGAGGGACGATTTAACGGAGGTTTTTTTGGGTTACCCCTTTGGAGGGCTTATATTTGGAGGGGCTTATACATGGAGGGGCTTATTTTCGGAATTTTAAGGTATTCCTGATTCATGGTGCGATTCTTTTTGCAACTAGGCTGGTCTATCTGGCCAGTTGTCACTAATATATTGTTGTAAGTGCTCACAATTTATTCAAACCTTAATTAAGCTATTGTAGTCCCCCTTGCAGTCTGGTTATTGTGTCTCCACTCTATCAGGGGTACCCAATGACTGTTTGTGTTAAATATCTGTTCGAAGAAACAAATATTGCTTAGAAATTTCTATAGCTCAAGAAAGGCTAAAAATTTCTGGATAACTGTTCAATTCATCTAAGATATTGGCATTTTTTCTGTTAACTTCCCTACGTTTTTTGGAAGTAGATTTTTCACATTTATTCCTGAAATTCCATTTTAGACATTTCCAACTTGTTCGGAAAGATTCAGTTGCTGGGTGCCTTGGACTCTGTTTCAAGATAAAAAGGCACCTACAAAGGACCGCAAAGCGAGGCCCCTTAGCCCTTGACCATACTTTATTAGAAATTGCACTATTTACACTTATAAGACAAGACAAAGGAACAACATTCATCTACTGAACCTTAAGTTGATGCTAGGAAAGCTTAGGCAAAAACACATTTAGATTTTCAGGTGCGGTTCTTTTTAATAATTTACCCACATCAATAAAAGAAGCTACGTCACTTTCCATTTTTAAGAATTTTCTTAGATTTCATTTTAGCCATTAGTTTTTTCTTATTAATATAATACTTAGGTAACTTCGATAACTCTCTTATTTGTCTTAATCTTAAACAAATTGTGATTTTTTATGAAGATTTTATTGTGTAGTCATAATTTACACAGGGGCCCCTTTTGATACCAGCCAATGGCTGACAGGGCTACCCTGCCTAAATGAAGTTGACTTGACTTGACTTGACTTGACTCTGCCAGAGCATTGTTCTGTTAACCTTTTGACTCCTAGACTGTTCAAAGCTCAGTCATCGTCTGGAGTATTAATATTTGATCATGTTATTATTCAACAGAATAACATTCCAGTATTCAGCCCTGCCATCACTGATGGAGCACTAGGAGATACATTATATTTTCATTCCTACAAAAATCCTGGTTTAGTAATTGATATTGTAGAAGGTAAATGGATTATTTATGTACAACTCTATGTGGTTCTCAGAAAGTAAATAACAACGACATTTCTCTATTTTTGTGACATGTCGACGTTTCTTTAATTTGTCTAGTGAATGTGATACTTTCACATATGAAGATAACTTGTTTTAACTTCACAAGACTTACTGAAAATAACACTCCTGCCATCACTACTTGAAGGAGCTGAATTAAAAATCCACAGAAAACGTATTTCTTTGATAATCACATAAAATCCTTATTTGCCTGCATGGCCATGAAATATACAGTCCATAATTGTTTTGGCCAGATGACCATTCATTCTATCCTCACCCCCCTTCAAAAAAGGGAAATTATCAAAGAAACCAATGCTCTTGCACAAATTCAGTGCTATTTAAATTTGTTTAAGTAGGCTTTTCTTCTAGATAATAAAACTAGGTGATATATAAACGGCCAGAATTACACTGATAACCATTTTATTCTATTTCTTTTACAGATGTTAAAAGAATAAATAACATATCGGTATTTGCAAAAAATACAGGCATGATAATTCTTGGAGGAGGACTCATAAAGCATCATATATGCAATGCTAACCTAATGGTGGGTGTCCTTTTCATCTTTACCACAGTTTAACAGTTACTATTAATTTTATCCTGCAGAAAAAAATTAAATCTCAAATGGTACAAAACATTCCAGGGAAAACTTTCCCAACAGTTTGAAAACAGAATTTTTTGTTGAAAACTCAAATGGTACAAAACATTCCAGGAAAAGTTTCCGCAAAAGATTGAAAAGTCCTCAAGTGTACTTCTCCCTTTCCAATTTTGACCTATTAAATGACCCGAAAATGCCTAAACCAGCTCTCGAACCATGCTTACTAAGAGTCTCGTACAGACTGTTGTTGCACGCCGCTTTGGAGACAACCAAAAGATTTTCCGTGAAATACACAAATGTTACTTTTTTCCCGACCGTTATTTTCCCCAAAAGGTAAATACCTAAAATAACATGCCTGAGAAAATAGCCGACATTTCCCGAGGTCACCACTGGTTTCCCCGCGTAATGACGTCTGCCCCGGAGAAATGAGCGCATACTGATGACGCGTTACTACCCAGATCTTGGAAGTGCTTCTGATTGGCGGAAAATTGTATTGAATTTCTTCGCTCGTTCCTCACTGAGACGTCGTTTCGCGGGGAAATCGTCGGTGTCATCGTGAAATGTCGGCTGTTTCCTCAGGCTACTAAGTAACAAGGCTGTTGTTAAGTGAATGCTGTTTTTTGTTTGTTTGTCCTCTCAGCGTAATGGTGCCGATTTTTCGGTGTTTGTAAACACTGGGCAGGAGTTTGATGGAAGTGACTCAGGAGCTAGGCCCGATGAGGCAGTATCATGGGGCAAGATTAAAATGACTGCCACCCCTGTTAAGGTGGAGTATACACACAACAGAGCCATTGATTATTACTAAGGAAAGATCTGCCAAAGGGGGAGGAGCACGAATGGCACTGATAGGTCCAATGCGAGGTCCCCTTCCTCCCTACCCATATCACATAGAACTAGGGACGGAGACTGCTGTATGGAATTTGACACAAGCGTGATCCAACAGAGAAACGTTTGACTACTTACCTTTCATTTTTGTGGGTTTTTAACAAAATGTAGAATGATTGTCGATACAAACCCCCTTTGAAGTTCTGCTCAAGACTGGATTGCTGTAGTGTCGAATTGCATTATGGGACTAATTTTTACCCAGTTTCCGGTGCAACTTCGTAGGAGGTAGTAAAAGAAGCGATAGATTCCTTAAAACCATCGTGCATTTTGACAAAAAACTAACCCACTGTCATTCATTCTCAGCCTCAAAATGGCCCATTAGGAAAATGAGCCATCAGCAAGCGGGCAGGATGAAGGGGATCCTACGTTCTGATTGGCTAACCAAGCGGGCTGAATGGGCTCATCTTGCCCACGCGGGATTTCAAGCGTTGGTTCCACAAGAAAAAGTGTTCGTTTCGTCCGTGTAATAAATCCTTTATTGACCAAACTTGTTCGGTCAAGGTGGCTGAATACTGGCCAATATCCAGCCCTCATGACCGAACAAGCTTGGTCAAAAACGCACATAAAAAATTGAGACAAATCGGCGCGGGTCGCACAGTATCTCAACAGAGCGTCCTACCGCCATACGGGTGGCTTTCCGTTTGAGAGTCATTAGGCGTATAGAAGAAGATCATCGCAGTTGTGCCTTGTAGACGCAACTTTTAAAATTGTGAAAAGAAAGCGTAAAAAATTAGGTTGTACCCGTGCGGCGCTTTACCAGTCACAAAGTTTTGTTAGCATCAGGCGTGGTTATTTTTCTACAAGTACGAAGTCGTTCTTGCCACTGATATTCGTCTGCTGACTCAAATTTTGATTGTGCTTTTCCAGGTTTATGCCGATGCAAGCCTAGTTTTTCCACTTCTCGTAGCTGAGACGTTTGCAAGGAACTTCAAACTGGATAATTAAAACCAAGTTGCCGCATAATGCCGATGTCTCCGATCTGATCGTGAATAGATGAGGCCCATAGGAGCGACATAGGACAGCAGAAATGGTGACAAATGACACGAAGATGGTTTAAATACCGACAAGGACATGGCCCACTTCTCAGACCTCGAAACGACCAAATTTGAAATTCAGACTTGGGTCATACGCATCCCCTCCCCTCCCGACGATATTTTCAGTCAACATTTTGCAACTTTGAACATCATCTTCAAATTGAGGGAAACCTCGAAACATTAGTCAAATAAAATTAAAAAAACAGCATAGATGTATTGGTAAACTATTTCAGATTAAGGATGGTTGGCTGTGAAGGGTATAACCATGGATTAGATCCAGGAATTAGATACAGTACAACAAACGAATAAAGTTTTCAAAACGCAGAAACCGTGACGTACTCCTTTAAGGCCACGTGATCTCTAACAGCCAATGGCAAGAGTTATATCTGAGAAGAGCAGTGGTATATAACAAAAGAGTGGAATCCTGATGCAACGAACCCCTTTGTGAAGTCCCCAAGACAACTAACGATATTCTTTGCCGCCCTAATTGCAATCCCGATTTGTCTAACTTACCTCCGGTATAATGAACACATAAGCCTGCGTAGAAAGCGTTTTTTGTGTTGTTTGTTTGTGCATGGCTTTTGTAGTAAGAGATACGGCCCCACGAAAGCTGAGCTGAGGTCAAACGAGAAAATGAGGGGAAAGGGGAAGGGGGGGGGGGGGGGGAAGAAGGCAGATTTTTTTTTCTCTACCTCCTTTCCTTCCCGCTCTCCCCGCGTTTTTTCGTTTGACCTCGGTACGCGCGCGGCCGTATCTCAATTTACTGAAATAAAAGTTTGAAAAGATGTCTCGATTGTACAGTGGATGAGTTATAAGAAAAATTGCTTGGAATAAAATTGAACGTTCAGTACTTAATTTACTTTAAACCAAAAAATAGTTAAGTAAAGCTCATGCTTTAATTGAACTGGAGATTATCGCAGGATTCGTTTTGGTGTTTGATGTAAGCTGTATTTCATCCGTTTTTGCAGACTTTAAATGAACTTCTTGCAAGTCAGTACCTATTTGTGTTCTCTATTTATGTTAGAGAATCGACTCAAGATGCATTGGCAATTTGACTTAAGAAGTTAAGCAGGTGAATCAGTGTAAGCAAATCGACTTATGGCCGAAACGTCTTAAATGGAAAATAACATACATTAAGGACAACTGCAAGGCATTTGCTCACAACATAATCTCTGGGGAAGGGAAGTTTTAATTAATTTCTTTACTCGGCCGAAGGAGAGGTGGGGAGGTGGGGGGGGGGGGAATCATTCCACCCAGCATTTCACGGTCTTTCACAACAAAGTTGTTTTGGTGCTGCTCACAGCGAAAGCAAAAGAGTCAAACGATGATACATGCCAGTCCACAGCATGAATTTATTGGGAATGGCGACAATTTTATCAGCAACTGGCTTGTCGAAAAGGGCTGCAGAGACTTGTGGACGTTTTCAAAGGTATATCGGGCTGTCTTGCGCTTCTGTTCTCAAATTTCGACACCTAACATTATGAAAATATGACCATTTTCACTTTCATGAATGTAGGTGGAAAATGTCTTATCGTCGCCAACAAGTACAAGTCGCCGGATTTGGGCATTAACTCGTCGCTTTGACACTGGAGTAATTGGAACTTGCACAAAATGTCAGCCTCAATGCTCTTTCCCTGCATTTGATAGTGATCTTGTGTTTAATAAATAATTTTCTCACAAAACCAGAAAACATTGATGTGGTCAGTATTATTTTATAAAGTAGAATGTAAAAAAGTCATAGAGAAGATAAACCAGTCATGATAATCTTGATGTGGGGGGAGGGGTAGAGAGATGAATGACCTGGAGCACAATACAGCTTTTTGTGCCTTAGTTTTAAGTTTAAATTGGTTTATGGGATTGGTTGCATCTGTTTTCATTGACCAGAGTAATTGCTTTGGTTTCACACTGTTGTGTTGTAGGCATTGCAAAGTAAGCATGATGCACTCCTTAAAAGAGTTGATGAGCTTGATACTGAATGTGAGCAGTTAAGGAAAAGGGTGATGGATGCAGAAGGTGAGAAAGATGAACTTCATGGAGTGGTGGAAGACTTGCAAACAGAGAAGGAAAAGCTTTCTAAAGAACTTGACTCAAAACAGGTGCACAACTGTTTCATCTTAGATTCATAATTATAACAGTTAATAACAAAGAACATCCTTATAAATTTAGTGCCATTTCTCACCATCTCTTTGTGATCATCCTAGCCACCTGAAGGTCAATTAAGTCATATGCAGGGCAAAGGTAGTACCTTCTTACTCAGTTATTTTAACATCATGAGTGTTATTCCGAGCCCGAGGATCAAACTTGCAAACTCCCAGTCCACAGACCAGCTCTCTATCATCTGAGGTAACCTTGTAAGTCCTTAGAGTGACCAACATCAATTTTCTCATTACAGTACTTATACACAGTGGAGAGGAAAGGTTATGAGCATTAATGAATTGATAACCAAAGGGAAATTGCTCTGATCTGTAAGCAAATTCTCACCACTATTACTTTAGGGAAATGTATGGAGATCAGTTTGGAGAATTTATATGTTGATATTGGAGCTTGACTATGTCACAGTTGAAAACACAGGGACAAGAAGTAATGGACAATAAAATTGTGTTTATGTCCTGCTAGAGCTTAGTGACAGTAATACGGGGAAAGGGATTTCTTCCGTCGCAAAGAGAACTGACCCTTCTCTCGTGCCTCTTAATTGTTCATGGCATGGGTGCCTTATGCTCCTTCTTCCACTTTACAGACTCTAGTGTTGTGCTAAAGAAAAAGAAATGCGATTCCTAAATTTTGCATACTACACAGCAATAGTAATTACAATAGCTATAGAAGGGGGTTGTCACTATACCGTGTTACTGTACCATGTGACTCTTGGTACAGGCAGTAGGAGTATAAGAATCCCTATCCGGCTGCCTCCCTTTCCTTGAATGTGGTCCTTCAGTCTATCCATGCAATTGTGCTAGCAGATTTGAAGACACCTAACAGATTTATTAGGTGTCCCACGCATTCACTTCCTGTTTTGGAAAGGCGTTTTGCAAATTGCATTTTAACAGCTTTTCTCTTGAATGAGAAATGTTCATATCAGTTCAAAAATTTTCTCCTTGTAATATCAATACTATATTAAATAGAGTGGCCATGAGAATTATGAACATGATCAAAGAAGATGTACTTGCTTGATATTCTAACAAATTCTCCCCACTACTTCTATAGGAAAAGTATTGGGGCAGCAAATGAGAATTTACATTTCTCATAGCCCAGTCTAAGGATAATTGGCAAGTTCAAGGTTGGAAACTTAATGTTGGTAGCACTCGCCACCTGGGTGAGTGACCTTCAGAGTGGCCGAGTGGGTAGGCCGCTAGATTTTAACACGGTCGCCCCGGGTTCAAATTCCCGCTCTATGAGGACAAGCCAATAAAGCCACATTTGTATGTATAATGTACCTTCCGATCATACCCCGCGGCCAACCAATTTTAACCAGATAAAATAAATGAAAGGGGACAAATGCGACGTTTGATTGAATTTGTGGAGTGGAAAAGCGTGGTTTTTAAAGTTGGCGTTTCCATAAGATGGAAATTACGAAGTACACAGGACTAACATTCACGGCATTTTCTAGGCCCAAGAGCCTGTTCCCTTATGGAAGTCCGTATACGGTGAAGATAAGCCAGTTGGTGGACAACAGGACTCGCTGCAGAGGTACAATTCTTTGAGTTGTTCTTTTGTGATTAATCCTAATTTGTAACTAATATATTGCTGTTGCCTTTCTTGCACTCTGTTGCCGCCCGTGGGTTCCCCCATACTTGGCATTTTTCATTGCTCTATGGTTCTGGCCTAGGCAGAAAAAAATAACATGATGTAACATTTCACATTTTCTTCGATCGTCTCCTAGTGTGTAATAAAAGGCATCTTTATCTAAGGTGGATGTGAATTATTTAATATAAACTTACACACCGTGACGTGTAACACTAATTATAGGAAATTACACTCATGCCCTCTTCGCAAATATAAACCATCTTTTCTTTTCCAGAACGTTCTACGCCGATGATTCTTACATGGAACAGAAACGCCCCTCATCTGCGATAAGAGAAGGACAGAGCTCATACTCAGACAATTACGCATCAAGCTGGCTACAGCCCCGCCCTCCTGATAAACCTAGAGCCCAGTCCGCGAAGACTCGAGTGAAAAGCTCAAGCTCAAAACTCGCAGATAAACGACAGAGTGCTGCACTGAGCGCAAAACTTGCGGCCAGCGGTAAACACGCGGCGAACGTCATGGGAAGTATAGTTGAGGGAGGGCTCCAGAAACACGAATGGCAAAATTCACCAGTCCCTACCTGGGATGTTGCAGATAAAGAGGGGAGAGGTGGGCCAGTGAGCCCTTCGTCCACCCGGTACACCCCAGTGAACGTGTTTATTTGTTCAAGTTGCGACAAGATGTACAATACACAGAAAGATCTGGACATCCACAAATCGTTTTGTTACGGTAGAGTCAGTGGAAACAACACATAGCCAGAGAAGATAGCATGCAGTACCTTTTCTGCTTAGCCTAGCGACAGTGAATTGGCTAGTTTCGAATTGTGCAAGAACAAAAGAACAGAGTCGAGGTTCACGGGAAAAATTTGCATTTTCCTTTGTTTTTTACTTGTTCCCAAGTCCTATTCCCCGGCAGGTTTTGCGCGCCTAGTCAAGTTATATTATCAACGCACACATCACATGACTTTTCATTTCTCACTTCATTTGGTGGAGGTTTCGTCACGCGAATGAAAACTAGTTGGTAGATCAATGGAGATAGCTGAGAGAAACTGCGCTCCATTTTCAAAGTGCAATGTTCTCTAAACTCATTGTGTTGACTCCAATGTCGAGTCTGAGTATTCATTTGTGGAGTAACATCGCCAAAATCAGTTTGGAGAATTTATATGTTGATATTGGAGCTTGACTATGTCACAGTTGAAAACACAGGGACAAGAAGTAATGGACAATAAAATTGTGTTTATGTCCTGCTAGAGCTTAGTGACAGTAATACGGGGAAAAGGATTTCTTCCGTCGCAAAGAGAACTGACCCTTCTCTCGTGCCTCTTAATTGTTCATGGGTGCCTTATTCTCCTTCTTCCACTTCACAAACTCTAGTGTTGCGCTAAAGAAAAAAAAATGCGACTCCTAAATTTTGCATACTACACAGCAATAGTAATTAC